GTTTACATAGTTTACAGTTTGGCATATTTTCTTTGATTTTCACATTACGTCTTCCAGATTGTGTCAGCGAATCAACTGTATGGAGTTTATGCATTGATTTACAAAGCCGGTCTCTCATGTTCCATCTTCATTATAAACTCCTGTACAGCTACTCTCCATCCCATTATCTTCCATCCGCTACACTGCAGGCCCCATTACTACCGGCCTCCATACTTTGGCATCAATGCTAATATATTCTTTTTCTTTGTTTCATATGCTGTTTCCTGCACCATCGACAAGAAAGAGTGCTTTCTAGACGATCCAAAACAGTCCAAATCGAAATGCTTTTTTTTCTCGTCCACTATCTACAAGCAGTGGACTAATTCGGATTAGGAACAGTTGAATTTTCCCAGTGACCGACGAGAGTGTAGATCTATTTTTTAGCCTTTTTTGCTTGTTTTCCTAGATAGTCCAGTCTATTAGAAGGACTTTATTTCTTCCCATGGCGTATTTCTATTTTGTTAGGTATAGGTCTAATATTTCGCCCATTGTACACACGTGTGTGTTCGCGTGTGTATTTTTTGTGTGTATGCATGAATTTCGCCCTGCCCGAAGATGTATTTCATGACACAGACCAAAGTTCTGATCCGTCTCTAAGGTCAACTGAAGCCGTCTCAGGACTGAGGATGCTGTCAGCAGCCTCCAGCACAGTTCAAGGACAATGCTATTATAGTCTGAGGAGCTGAATTTACGAATTCCTTTATTAGCACTTTTATCATCTTCTGACGATAATATGGTCTGAATGTTGCGCTTCAATTTTAAAATTCAGTCTTTCAAATATTAGAGCCAAATCGGCTGGAGTCACCAAGGGGCAAAATTGCGCCCAATCGCATTTGCCTTATACATGCAGGCATAAGAGTAGGGCAGCCTGGCGCTTCTGTGCCACGAGCCCAGTCTAAATCTTCACTTTACTGTCACCTGTGCTCTATTCTGCTGGTCGCTGGGGGCGGAAGCAAAGTAGTTCTTTATCAAGGACCACTTGTCTCTTAGTTTGTGAATGAAGTTCACATTCTGAAGCATAAATTATTACCCATTATACGAGGTAGGTTAGTCTTTTCCTGTCTATTGGTCTCCACTGGGCTTCTGACGCAGTATTGAATTCTAGGGCTGCACCGCGTTGTCTGGCTTTGGTATTGGGCGGATAGCAAATCTTCACACGGGGTGGAGGAGACCTAATTTCATTCTATTTCGTTCTTCTATGTCCTTACTCATCCGAGATGGACAGCATTCTTAACCTCGCTTTATCGTTTCATCACTGCAACCAGCAGGATTAGAGCCATCGAGGTTCGGGCCACGAGGTGAAGCTCATTTCTACCAGGCTAAGTATCTCTGGCCACGGCAAACATGACTTTCTTAGGGAAACACAAACTCCTCCCAACTCATGTCATTTTATGGGGAATTTCGTATCTCTTAGCAACAGTGTGTTTGCCCCTGAATCCGACAGGCTACTGAATTCGACATTAATAGCGGTTTTGTTCCGCAATATTCAGAGCTAAAGTTTTATTAGAGGCGATGATACTTTGAGATGCTAATGATCTTCAGAACAAAAGCCAAGTCTTATCTTCAATTTAAGGTGGGAGGAATCACTCGGTCCAATACAGCAAGCATTCTAAACTGGCATTATTCTACAATAACTAGGCTCTCGATAGCTACAGAGCAAAGTTGTCACTATTAAAAAAAAATTTAATGCTATGCCATTTTATTGGTTAGTCGTGTTTCTACAGTGCATCTATCCAGCCAAAACCTAGTTTAAAGATGATCAATTTACACTTTGTATACGTTTATTGAGAGTCAATGAACTATCTGTCAACGGATTTGACAACACATTTTTATGCAGTATACATGACTAACCATGGTTCGCGTTTGACCACCATATTCTGTCCCTCTTAGATGCATAAATATATTTGTATTTTTGTGTAACTTGGCCTCTAGTTTAGGTCTCAAATTTCCTTGTGTTGTCTACAAGTGTACTGACAAAAATGTCTGTCTCTAGTTGACTTGGATGTGTCGAGTAACTTTATTATTGTTTCCCTCCATTCGTCATAGTAACAAATCTCGTTGTCAGCAGTTTGTCTGCTTGTGTTCGCTACCGCTTAATCTGTCTGTACTCTGAACTTTTGAAAAGCTATCTTTCTGTCTAGACATAAACAATTATTTTGAACTGCAGATCTTGCCTTACTTCTTAAACCTCTTCCTGGCTCTTAGATTAATCGCGCTTTTCCTCACTCTTTTGTCCCCCTTCATTCCTTCTCTTCAGACAGCCTCAGGCCTACTTCATTTTCATTTATTACTTGTCAATGCCTATTACGACTTAAGCCTCACTGAAAGCTGCTTGCCATCAAATCTCTTGTCTTTGCTAGCGCATCAGTTTGGCTGTAATCTGATTTGTATCGTGCCTCTTTCCTCGGGTCGATCGGTATAGAGCATAGTTGCATCAAGTTTGGCAATTTTTGTTTGACTTGACTCTATTGTTTAACCTTTTCATTCTTAGTTATTAGTTAAGGTGAACACGCATACAAATAGGCTTTGATTAATTGGTTTGTTTGCCTAATCGGTTTCTGAGTCTTCCCATTAGCGGATAACAACTTGGTCATTCGAAGTCACTTTAGATCATTTATGTATTGATAGTATATAGTTCTCCACAATCAGATGAATAGGCCCTACGATACCTTTGAATTTCACTTAACCTTGTCTCACCAAAACGTATCTCATCCACGGTGAACTGTGATCTTGACCTCGCCTGGGTAGCATCAGCACCCCCAGCGGGAATCTATTCTGGGTCGGGATGAATGCACCCTGCTCGATGAGCAGAGGTGCTGACAACTTTCACGTATTCTTCACTACATATCGCTAGTCGCCATTCGTAATCCTTTGGCTCCTCGTGCACATGTTGTCATACCCAGTAGTTCGAAGAACTCTTGATGCACATACAGGTTCGCTCTTTCTTTTCGTGTCAAAATAATCGGATTATTGCAAACTTGTTGACAAGCATTCTCGATTTTTCAAGATTTGGTTTTCTGTTATCCACAACACTGATTGACCGTTTAAATTCTTTCGTTTTAGGCTTCGGGAAAGATTTTTGCCGGCCATATGCACATTGATCATCTATCTGCAGAAGTGGTTAAGCTGTTCATATCCTGTTTACTTTCAAGTCAAGCATCGGGTCTGACTTTATGCAGGACTGCTGAAGGCTGCACATTAAGTCGACAAATCCTATCAACCAATCTTGCATCGAGTAAACATTTTGACCTGTTTCTTAAAAAAAGGGAAGAAGATTCTTTGCGCCCAGCAGGACATTTGCAATTTGCCTTTAGATGTCCACTGCTTAACTGCCGATTTCCACCTATGGCAAAGACTAGCTGCACTTTGGTCCCCCAAGCCAAATGAGCACCCATTAAACTGGATATCTTTTTTGAACTGATTCCTTTGCTGGGCCCGTCAGCCTTTTTAGCTACTCTCGATTTCCGCAATACCCATGGCTTTTTTAGATGGGCTTCTTTGCGAAGGTCATTCTTGTGGAAGCTCATCAAAGAGACGCTTAATGTAAGGGGCCTAGTCGAAATCGTAACTGCGATCCATTCCAGACGGTAGTTGACTGGGAAGTTTAGGAGCATGCTTGGGACTTTCTTCAACTCCCTATCCCTTCTTCAACTTCGAGTAATGCGACGCATGTGTAAGAAATGGCGTATATCAAGCCTCCGCTAAAATTCATCATAGTTTCACCACTTTTCTGTTACGCCAAGTTTAAGAAATTTTGCATTTTCGACTATGCCATTTCTCAAATTTGTTACTGAATTCTTGGGTCCATTTGTTTGAACAAAATTTTCATCCCGGATACTTTCACATTGAATGCTATAAATGTGAGGGTATCAATTGTTGAACGCTTCCTTACTTAGCTACCATTTCCTGATTGCTTTTTTGCTTGGTCTGAAGTTAGTATTTTGCAAGGTACTATCTACACCGTGGCTATTGGTAGTGCAGCCTCGAATTTTGTGCCGAAACCTGCTTTTATGGAATATTGTACACTTTTTGACTCGCAGTAATGATGATAGACACAATATGCGACTGAAAGTTATCAAAGGTGTTCGTAAGAGATTCGCACATTGTGCAACAAACGAGGAACTTGAGAAATTGAAACCGAACGCACTCTTCATCGTGGTGTCAGAGCTACCATCATGCGTGTTCTGCCTAAATTACATCTAGGAGCTCCACTTACAATTATTCTGAATAATAAGGGTTACGTGACGCATAAAAGATCACTAATTATTTATCACCAATTATGATAAATGAGCTCTTGCAAGCTCTTTAAGTTTGTAGAGAAGTAGGTAATAGAAGATGGGGATTTGTCGGAAAGTTTTGATGTAGTGTCAATTTAAACTAGCATGCTTGTGAGCGAGGCCACAGGCTCTAGAATTAGCATTAGCTCAGTTCCTGGAGATCGTAATGAATAAAAAATTTGGGCGAGGGGCCATTTGCGATATTGATGAATTTTGCAATTAGCTGTACATTTTGCACTCTTATTTTTAGTTCTGCCCAACGAATATTAGGTTTAGCTATGGGGTCCTATTCGCCCCATTTTTATGGAATAACTATTGCTCGATTGGAGGTTCGCCTAATTTGATAAGCAATTTTAGTTCCCAAATTATTGATTGGATCCATAAATGGTCATTGTCGTTATGCAACACGACTAAGAGAATCTAGGTAATTTTATTTTGCTAATAGATAGGAATGATGATGAGACTTAGTTGAGCTTGGATATAGAAAAGGATAGTAGTCTGATCCTTTCGAGTATCTTAGTCTAATCTACCTAACTGAAGTATAACTAAGGAAGTCAATGATAGTAGAGAGAGAGATTAGTAGATTAAGTTCGGCTTTTAGTGGAAAAGAATAGTTAATTAGATTTAATTCTACATATTCTGATAATATTAGGAAATAGGGGGCATGAAAATACTTATTTGCGGCGGGAAAGGCGCCTGGCCAACTCCAATACATATATGAGATGTGTTCATCCTATTTCGTGTAAGGTGATGAAGGATTGCTAGTTGAAGTTTCCCACAATTATATGAATGGATTTACGTTTTCATTGAAATTCACATAGCCATTAGGATCATGGTGCTACTCTCTTCGGCAATACGACCTTTTCGAGAATTTTCAAGCCTCATTTAAATCCGCTACTCAGAATATATTTTGTCTTATTGTGGCAATGAGTATGTTGGAGAGACCTCCTGGCCCTCTCTAGACAAATTGATATCTGTACATAAAATAGTCTGCGAAGGCTAGTCCGAAGCTCAGAACCGGTTAAATTAGATTCCTATAGACCACACGGCAGCCTGGTATAAGGGCAAAATGCTCCACAGGATTTGTGAATGATACAAGTTTGCGTAAGTATAGGAAATTCACTTTCGTATTGGAGTAGAGTTTCATATAGGAAATTCAGTCAACAGGTCAAGATAAACTAGGTTTCGATGAATCTCCTGTGATAGGGATCTAAGAGAGACTTCCATTTTTATGAACGAGCATAATAACGAAATTCGAGGGCTGATCTCACCATAAGACGACGGCGGATTCCCATTTTCCGTCACACGATGGGCATCCTCAGAACTGAAACTCATTCTTGTAAAAGTATCTAGTTAACATTGGGTCATGAAGATTGTCCGGCTCTATCTTACCTCTTATGTATACTCATAACTAAATAACTTAAATGTATGGACACAGATAGATTACCTATCTAATTACCTTCCATACTAGTCATGATGCTTTTTTCTGAGACTGTGTTTGTGTATTAATATCTATACGCAATAACGTTTCTAAATTAGAATGATAAATAAAGCCTAATGTCAGGTTCGGATCATCAAGGCTTAATGACGCAAATGCATAAGTCCTTAAGCAACTATAGTTAAGACAATGAAATGTAGGCTTGTAAGCGTGTAAATCAGTTAACGAAAAAACCCGTCATAACCTCTTAGTCTAGGGTCATTTAGCTCTACTCCTCAAAAAAGGCATAATTGGAATTGAGTAATCTCGTATCTCTGGTTTGGTTGATGGGCTTAGTCTACATGTTTAACGAATGTTGATGTAATCGGAATCATCAATGGGCTGGTGCGTTGAGTCTCCTGTTCTGGATGGCCACTCAACAACCCCTGTCTCCTTCAATCTTTCAATAAGGCGTAAATAATTCTCGCTCAATTTTCTGCCATCGTTCTTATCATTTAACATATTCTTTAATCTATTAATTGGAATAGCCCCTTATCTTCCTTATAACAACATATGTACCATACTCAGCAGACCTATGCGTTTGGGGCAATTCTATCTCCTGTCCAGTCTCTGCCATGTTTTCGGGACCTTAGACCCAGCTGCCTTTAAAAGCGCATTTTTGTGTTCCCCTAATCTTTGGCGAATAGGGCAAAACGTCTCACCCACATAAGGTCGACCACAGGAGCACACACTGCTGTATCAACCAGATCTCGATAATAGGTCATATATGCCGCTAAAAGATGTCATTACTGAAAAGGACGTGAGGGTTGATTTAAATAGAGTTTTTATCCCTCACTTTCTTACTAGTTATCGTATCTCGTTAAAAAAAGGCATGACGGCAAGATTAGAACGCTACAAAAGTTCTAAGCTCTTCTATGTTTGAGTAAATATTCCGTCTGAAACTCTATGGCTAATTAGTTTCCAGGACTAATTGTTTAATTAGTGCCATCTATTTGAACAAATGGTTACTATTCATTAGTTTCATACTCCCAATAATTATTGACTTAGGGATTACAACCTCAGCTTTGTAAGAATGGCTGGAAATAAAATTCAGTAAAGAGTCAACCTATGTTGGCTTCCCATAAATATATCTTCCCAGTTTGCTCTATACTTTAATAATCAGAACATCCAAAAGGGGTGAGGACCTATTCTGTTCCATTTACATTGCGAACCTAAGTTTCCTTTCGCGTTGGCTAGGGAAAAGCAGGAAACAGTCTGAGCTTTCCTTGATATCAGGCCAGGGGACTAAATATTCATCTATATGTCTAACCAACAATCTAAGGGTAAGTGTTCCCTTCTCCAATAAGTGTCCCTCAAATTTAGCCATGCATTTTTTTTGCCAAGATGGGAGCAAAGTAAGTTCCCATCGCAAGTTCTTGCGTCTGTTCATAAAACCTGTTATCAAAGGTAAAATAAGTGCTACTCATGATCAGCTTAATAACTCTAAGAATGGATGGTATATTCAATCTTATTTTTGTGTTGTCTCTAAATGCTCCTCCGGAGTTTGCATTGGGCATGAATGTTTCTGAACAAAAATATCTGTCCACATAGACACGACATCCAAACTTACTAGCCCATCCTTATCTAAAACTATCTGCTGATCAATCAATTTTACAAACTCAAAAGAATTTTTAACTAAATATAGTCAAAGATCCGCAGCCTTTCGTAGTTGTATGCCTTAAAACGTGATATTTTCTACGTTATTGACTTCGAGATTACAACCTTAGTTTTGTAAGTATGGTTGGACAAAGAATTCACTAAAGAGCCAACCTATTTTGGCTTCCTATTTACCGATAAGACCAATTTTTTCCCCCTCTTATTGGTCTTTACTAAAAATCTAAAAAGTACCACAACCCAATTTCCCTTAAATTTCCTCGTATCATTTAGGCCTACTTCTTCATTTGCCATAATGTCACTGGATAGTCTTTATCTCACAACAATAGTTGCATTACATTAAGTCCCATGCATCAAATGCTTCTCCATCTTTATTTATTTCTTAAATGATTTATTTTGACACTTTGAGTATTAGAACTTTTCGTCATGCTGGCCAAAAGTTGAGATTCATTTCTTTCCTCATTAATTTATTACCCCGAAGACTGCCACTACACGCTTTTGCTTTTCTCACCCCTCCTTTTCCAGCTAAACAAGCGAACGAAGTGGCTCGGGCCATGGTTTATTGGCAAATCTGTTTTAGTCTGCTGATTCATTGGCCAGAGCTTGTCCGATACTCGTCATCTTCCGCTTGGTACCTAGAAAAGTTTGAAGTTATTTGTTGAACTTCACTCTTTTCCACTTTTTTGCGTACTTTTATTCTTTACGTACAAACGTGTTCAAACCACAACTGTATGTCGAGTCATCTGTGGGTCTCATGTTTCTTTTGGAAATCCGATATTGTCCGCACACCTGCAAACTAGCACCTAAATGGGCCGTTTTTTCGGGTGTCTAAAGCCATGTCCACTGACACATTGTCCATTAACTTAGTTACATTTCAGAGTGATTTTAGTTCTTTTACAAACACACGCATTAATAACGCACAAGCTATCCTTTCTCACTCTGTCCACTCTTCCCTCTTACTTGCCCCTTCATCCATATATATATATATATATATATATATATATATATGGTTCTTCCAAAGAAAGTTGATTATTTCACATCAGCCTACTTGCTGTTAAAGAGTTTGAGTGACCATTATACTACGATAAATTAAGGTGAAGGCTTGGTATTTTCAAGTAATTTCGTTGCGCGTTTTATCTGAGGCACTTTTCCTCACAAGGCATAGACCCCATTTTCATCCTCATCAAACTCTTCTAGACACCGTGTCCTAGTTTAAATGAAA